CTAGAGACAAAGGCACAACTAATCCAGGCACTGGTCTTTGCAATTACTTCTTATACTTCAGAAAGCTGGGCAATGACTAAGGTTGACAGAAGGAGAATCAATGCTTCTAAGTTGTGGTGCTGGAGGAGTCTTGAACATCCCATAAACTGCCAAGAAAACAAATAGGTCTCTCTTGGAGAGTGTGAAACCAAGTTTCTCCTTGAAGACTAGGATTTTTAAGCTCCACCTCATTTATTTGGGGCATGTGACCAGGAGAGATCGGTCCCTGGAGAAGGACACCATGCTCGGAAAGGTGGAGGAACAGTCCAGGAAAGGGAGACCCCGGATGAGATGGATTGATACAGTAACTGGAACATGGGGATCGGTGTGTCAGAATTAATGAAACTGGCTCAGGACAAGGCAGGCTTCAGAGCTGCTGTACATAGGGTGGCTATGGGTTGCAAGCAATCTGATGGCATATAACAACATCATCAATAGAATAGATTGGCACAATGATTCACTACCTGAAACACTACCACAATTTTCAGGATGGCACAGCACTGGGCAATATTTTGTTCTGTTGTATACAGGGGTGCTATGAGTAGAAAATGGCTCTGTGGCATCTAACAACAACTGTTATACTTTTGTTTATAATTTCCTGAGTGGGTGACAGTTTCTCCATATTGACTGGAAAAAATGCTTCTCAGTCTAAAGTATTTCTGTCTGTATGTCTGTTGTTGTTATTGTGTACTGACTCCAGAGTCAGAACAGACCCATAGTTGACCCTCCGGCAGGTTTTCAGAGGCAGTGAATCGTACAGGAGGAGACTGTCCATCCTTCTCCCATGGAGCAGCTGGTGGCTTTGAACTGCATGCCTTTGGGATTGCAGAGCAGCTTCTTGCCACTGGGCCACCAGAGCTCCCAGAAGCTGTCTAAAATCTACATGTTTTTCAGCTACAGAAACTTGCCTTTTTCTATACTTACTGTTAGGTGTCACTGAGTGAGCTGATTCATATGACCCTGTGTACAACACAATGAAATTCCACCTGATACTGCACCATCTTCCCAATCTGCACTGTCCTCAAGGCCATTATTCCACAGAGAGTGTCTATCTGTCTCATTGAATGTTTTCCTTTCTTTTACTAATCATCTATTTTTCCAAGTATAATGTCCTTCTCCATGCACTATGCCTCTAAGGAGCACTCTTCCTTAAAGAGCACTCTATTTTTAGTAACATGGAAACGAATAAATATTACAAATAAACTTCTTTCCATGCTTTTGTTTTGGGTTTTTTAAAAAAAAATAAATAATGAACTAAATATTCATACTCTTAACAGCAGGAGCGGCATCCACTTCCGAAATGGCTTTCCTCCGGAAACTCTATGTACGAACAGTGCTCAGGCTGTTCGTTCATAGGGTCGCTATGAGTCTTCTATGACTCGATGGCACCAAACAACAACAACAACAAAATAATAAGATTTTACTTATTTTAGGCAAATCTAGTGAGTTAATATTCTGTCCATCTTTGTCTTAAAATATAAAGGAAAGAACTTCACTGAAATATAAGAAATAAGAAGAATAGGAAAATGGGATGGAGATCTGGTGTAAACTTAGGTTCTGGCACTTGCTATGTGACCTCAAGTATTTCATATACCTTGCTAGTCTCAATGGTACCATCTATAAATTCATGAGGTTGGACGAAATACAGATAGACTACACAGTCATAAAAAAAGAGCACAAAATATTTATACTGACTAAGAAATCACAACCTTGCTTGCAGAAAGTGAAGACTTGAAGAACTTAAAGACTGCAGCCTTCTATATGAATCACATATTGAATATGTAAGATTATAATCTCCTTATGGGTTACATCACAACACCAAAGAAAAAAAATCTTCACCATTAGACCAAGAGGTAACATCAGGAAATATGGAGGAAAAGTTGAAATTGTAAACAATTTCATTTTATTGGATCCACAATATACTGTTATTGTAACAGCAGTTAAGAAACCAAGAGAATGTGGCTTGGAAAATCAGCTGCCAAATATCTTTTTAAGAGCAAAGATGTCAGTTTAAAGACTAAGTCCCACCTGATCCCACTCATGGTTGGTTTGGAGGGTTTTTAAAATAAACTTTTTAGTTTATACTTTACTTACAAAGTTCATATACACTGTTTTTCACATCAGATCTTTCCCATTTCCTTTACCCACCTCTCTCTCCACCCATTACATTGTGCAACCCTATGATTACACACACATACACACACACACCATTCCTCCTGCCTATCCTCACCCTTCTGTTCCTCCCCTCACCTCCTTGGGTCCTCATACACATTTTACTAGTTATCTTCTATTTCTAAAATAATGGTCTTATACAGTATTTGCCTTTATGGAACTGAGTTAGTACATTCAGCATAATGCTCTCCAGTCCCTTCCAAGGTATATAGCAATTTTCAAAATAATTTTTCCAGTTGAAAGTTGGACAATGAATAAGGCTGATCAATGAAAATTTGAAGACTGAATTGTGGTGCTGGAAAAGTGTATTGAATATGTGACGGACAGCCAAGAGTCAACAAATCTGTCTTAGAGGAAGTACAACCAGAGTGCTCTTTAGAGGCAAGAATGGTTGAACTTTGTTTCACAGACGTAGGAATGTTGTCAAAAGGGTCTAGTCTTTGAGAAAAGACATCATGCCAGGAAAGATAAAAGGTCAGAGAAGGAGAGGAAGACCCTTTAGGAGATGGACTGACACAATGGGCTTGAGAGTATTGTAAATCATGGATGCAAGATAGGGTAAGGTTCAGATTTTTTGTTCACAACAGGTTGCTATGAACCACAGTCAACTCCATGGCATCTAACAACAACAACAACAAATGACCACTGACTGACCCAGCTAAAACGTAGTGTTGATTATCTACTCCACAAAGATGACAGCAGAGATGTTGAAAGGTTTGGGGTTGTTATTTTTTGTTTGTTTGGGTTTTAATCTTAATAAATAATAGAAAGAATCTTATATGCAGCAAAGTCCTTTGAAAGAAAAATTTGAAGAACATTAGGGACAACCTGAATAACATGACTTTAGGCAAGTTAATGGATAAGGTCAGTGAGGAAGAACATATTATGGAGAGCCTGGAATGCCAAGGCAATGCAAAGCCTCTGAAGATTTTGGAAAAGTCTCTAGGCTATCTTATTGAGACTATGGTATGAGTGTAGCAGTCGTGAAAGTCCAAGCTGGAGTTGTGCAATAGGGAATCCTGGGGCAAGCAGCCCCATTCAATTCTATCTCTAGTATCAAGGTCAGCAACCAACATTTAATTTACAAGCCAGATCACAATATATGTGTGGAGTAACTGAATGACTAACACCCCAAACACTCTTTCCAGTCTTTATTTTTCCTGAAGGATTCATACTACAAGTACATCAAAGCTTTCGAGAATGGTGCCTACTGGTGGTGTGAAAATAGTAGGTCTTCCTCAAAAGGTCATGACTCAGACCATTGCACTACTAGAGCTTTAGATACAAGGAACAAAACCTGAACCAGAGTCACACAAATGGGAAGGAGAAAGCAAATGTCACCATGATTTATTTCCAGATGGTTTGGAAAATACATTAAAATACTCTAGACTAGCCAAAATAAAAGCTACTGGATCCCTCTCCCCCATTTTTCCTTTCAAGTAATTCAATAATGATTTACACAAAATTGAGAGGCTTGCCAAGTATCTCATGTTACAAAGAAGTCACTGTTATCATAAAATTCCCATTTCTGTAAAAAAAGTTTCTACTGACCCTATTTTTCTCTATTTTAAGGATCTAGTATATTGGTCATAAATCAAACAATCTACAGCTATCTTTCAAGGAAATATAAAATTTAAAAAGTAGTAAATAGTCCCAAAGGATCTAACGAACTTTTTAAAAAAGCATACCTATACACAAACACATCAACCTTTTTTTCTTGACTCCTGTATCAGAGACTGTTTCACTAAAATTACATTGACCTTTTTTATTTCTACAATTTGTTTTCTGAATATAATTTAAAAGATGAAAAGGAATTAACACAGAACAGTAGCCACTTTTTTACTGAAGCAAATGTTTGGTCAAATGGAGTAGTTTCAAGCAATTCTCTTTCTATTTATATCCAGGATCTACTACATTTCTTTTCTAAAGGAATACATTTAAACAGTAGGAAAACATAACATTATAGTATCTTTTAAATGAAATACTAAACAGAGATGAATTAATAAGAACATCTTTCCAATGTAAAATTATCAGATGATTAGCACTTAAAGCACCTAAAATAAAATGTATAAACAAAACACAAATTTTGTTTGATATGTAACATGAAAGTATAGATTTCTATTTGAAAAAAGTTTTCTAGGTTTATATTTTAGTTAAGTACATCACCTTGGGTATTAAGCATGCTGTGAGCTATCTCTTAATGAGTGCCGGAACTGTCATTTTTAATACAAGACTGTCAATCACTACCTATAAATTGTTATAAACTTCCAGAAAATAACATGTAATACTTAAACTAAAACAGATCAGAATGAAAACTAACTATTCCATTTATGAAAAAAATAATATAACATTGTCATAATATTCTAAAAAATCACCACTAACATATAATCACTGTATGAACATCAACATACACAAAAGCATAAATCATTTTTAATATATAACAGAACTCTTCAGAAAATCTAAATAACATCTTTTGGTTGCTTCATCATTAAACAGAGATTTAGTTTTTTGTAGCAAGTGATGAAAATAGACATATTAGAAGAGAAATATAATCCATCAAATAAGCAAAATACTTAAGCCATTCTAATCTTGATTATTCCCCAATTCCAAGTAAAAGTGATGGATAGGGAAAAAAAACCTCAATTAATGATATACATCATCTAAGTATATGCATCATTGATATGTAATACGAGTCATATAATGCTCTAATATAATTCAGTAGATATAGCATCCAAAAATCCTACATTATTTTCAAATGCTTTAGCATTTTTAAATTTTTTAAAAAGTACCTCTTCCACAAAGCTGTCTTTCTTCTCCAACATTTCTCGTAACGTTTGAAGAATTTTAATACACAGCTTTTCTTCTTTCTCCATTAGTTTTTTTGTATGATTAATCAACCTTAAAGCAAAATATTAAACCTTAAATAGGGCAGGGATTTCTCTTGAAGCTATATGCAAGCAGACTATCAAGAGGAAAAACATATCATGCTACTAACTGAATATGAAGTAAGCCGGATAATATGCTTTCTAAGTTAAACAATTATTTCTTTAACTCATAGATTTTTGTATTATGGAGTATTATTTTTGTTTTCCATGTAGTACACTTCAGTAGCTCTCAAGTTTATTCTGATTTTATTTCTTAAAAAAAACACAACAAAACAACAAAATACCCAGATAGTTCTAAACAAACTACAATGTTGCTGTTGTTGTTATGTGCCAACAGGTGAAAAGTGACTCACAGCTGACCCTCCAATGGGTTTTTGCAGGCTGTAAATCACCCTCCAGGAGACTGCCCACTTTCACCTGCAGAGTGAAACACCTGTGGATTTGAAAGGCCTGCCTGGTGGCTGGCAGTTTAACTCTTTACCAGTTAATTAGGCCACGATATTTCCTTCACACCAAAAAAGTGTTAGAATTAGTTTCATATAACCTAATAGCAGAAAAAGGTATATATTTAACACTGTATTGTGTTGTGATACATTATTTTACATAACTGTATTACATTACATAGTATCATTTATAAATGTAGCAGGGTCCCTAAGAGTCAGTATCTGTTCAATGGCATTGAGTTTTTAGTTGAATACCACACAGTAGCCTTGGCAAATAAGCTGTATCTCACCTTCCGTGAAAGCTGTTCATTGCATAGAGTCAGAACTGACTCACATCTGATACTCCAGTGTGTTTTCAGAAGCTGTTAATGGCATAGGAGGAAACTGTTCATTCACCTTTCTCCTGAAGAGAAGCTGTTGGATTCAAACTGCCAGCTTTTGAGTTGACAGCACAACTTCTTGTCCCTTAGGCTACCAGAGTCTCCTATTATTAATAATATGTCGTTTTTCACTGCTAGGACTTGATAGATATAGTCAGTCTGTTTGGTAAAAAGGGGGAGGGAGCCACGAAAAAATCTCAAAAGAAATAACTTGAAAGAGACACACAGTGAAAGAAGAAGAAAAGGAAGGAGGGAGACAGGAAGATCAAGTCAGTTTTTCCATTTAGTATTTTATTATTCTTGGGCAACACCTAATCTTACTGGTGAACTTTTGCACTGGTATTCTCTTAAGAGTTTGAGATGATGTAACATCCCCAAGTTGTTGTTGTTTATGTTATGAGGTGTCAACAAGTCAGTTTCAACTCAGAGCAATCCTATGATCAAAATACTGTCCAATCTTGCACAATCCTCTTAGTTCTTGTAATATTTGTGCTAACTTACAGCCACTGTGTCAATTCATCTCATGGAGTGTCTTTATATTTTTTCTCTGCTTTACCAAGTTGATATTTTTTGTCAGTGACTGGTCCATTCTGGTAACATGTCTAAAGTATATTAAGATGAAGTCTTAACATTCTCACTTATGAGGAACACTCTGGCTGCCCCACAAAATCTCATTTTTCTGACTGTCTTTCTGCTTTTTTTTTATGTTAAGATGTGAATCACATTAAAGGTCACAGTCTTTGATCTTCAGTAAGTGCTTCAAGCTTTCTCCACTTTCAGATAGCAAGTTTGTTTCATTGACATATCACAGGTTGTCAATAAATCTTCTTCCAATCCTAATGCTCATTTTTTCTCTTCATAAGTCCACATTTTCAGATTATTTTGCTCAACAGTTTAAATAAGTCTGGTGGAAGGATCAAACCCTGATGCACATTTTTCCAGGTTTTAAACCATACAATAACCTTGTACTGTTCAAACAACTTCTATTCATATGAAGGTTTCACACGCACAAATAAGTGCTCTTAAATCTGAAAGTCTCATACTTTGCAATATTTTCCATTACTTGCTATGATCCACTCAATCAAATGATTTTGTGTAGCTAATAAAAACAGAAGTAAATATCTCTCGATATTCTCTCCTTTCCCAGAGTCATCCAACTTCAGCATCAGCAATCATTCCAGATCTTCTGAATACAAGGGTTTCTGGAAGTTCCAATGAAGTACTGTTTTGATAATCTCTGAATTACCTTCAAAATTTTACTTGTGTGTAAGATTACTGGCACTATTCAATAAGCTATAATTCTGTTGTTATTGTTGTTGTTGTGTACGGTCAACAGCCTCAGAGTTTAACCCTCTATTGAGTTTATAGAGGCAGTAAGTTACGTAGGAGAAAATTGCCAATCCTTCCATGGAGCGACTGGTGGACTCAAACCATGTGCGTTTTCTGTTAGATCACGTTTCTTAGGAATAAACATAACTCTTACAACATCTTTCGATTGATTGGCCAGGTAACTGTCTTCCACATTTCTTGGTACAGATGATTAGTATATCCTGTCTTGCTTCCACTTACTGAAACATCTTAATTAATCTTCTGATAATTCCTAGAGGTTTGATTTTCATCAAGGCTTTCAGCATAGCTCATACTCATCCTTTAGTACTACTAGTTCTTTATTATATGCACCCCCCTGAAATGGTTGAACCTCAACCAAATCTTTTTGTTATGATGATTGTATATTAGTTATATCTTATTTTGATGCTTCTTGTATCATTCAGTACTTTGTCCATTAAAAAAAACACATACACACAGTGAAATATCTCAGTCAGAAAAGAACAAATACTACATAGTGTCAGTGTTGTAAAATGGGACTGACATCAGGGTTAGGGAGAACCTAAAAAAAGAGGGAATAAATAATGTATACTGCATTGAAACAGATGAAATAGAGAACTGTTTAAAAGGATACAGGATTAGGTATTATTTTCATGACAAAATTGCAGAAAAAAAAAAAGAAATGCATATTAAAGTGCTCTGTGGACTTGGAAGGGGATTGTATCACAATGAAAGAAGGGTTTTTTTGCGTTTGTTTGCTTGTTTTTTTCTTTCCAAAGAGAAAAACGAACTGGGAGGAAAATGTGCAACAATGAATGAATGGGAGGAAAGTAATGAAAAGAATATACTGTAAAAAACATATATGTTGCATTAGAAAAAAATCAAACCATTCGCCATCAAATTATCCTACCTCACAACAACCCACAGGGTTTCCAAGGCTGTAAACATTAACGATGCAGACTATCTTATCTTCTTCCCATGGCGCAAGTTATGAATTTAAACCTTTTGGTGAGTGACCCAATGCTTAATCCACTGCACCAAATAACAGCCTTATTTTGCTTATATTTTGCCCCTATTTTGCCTTCAATATTGCAATCTGGGGCTTGTATTTTATCCTCATTTCTTTCAGCTTGAGAACTAACAAGAAAATTTTCCCTTTTTGTTTTCTAACTCCAGTTAGAAACTCACTGAAGGTTCAGCTATTATTTGGAATGGACTAAGCAGCACCTAAAACAATGTGTTAAACCCAGTGTCATCAATTCAACTTTGACTGACAACACTTTTCCATCCAGTTTCTGACGCTATAAATCTTAACAGATTGAGACTATCATTCTCCCACAGAGCAGCTTATGGATTTGAGCCATCCCTATAATAGTCTAGACTCTAAAACAGTGAAAATTAGCTCTGGTGGTGTACTGCTAATCACAGGGGTGCCACATCAAATCCGCTAACAGTCTCCGCCCAATAAAATTCATATTCTTGGAAACTAGATGCAAGTTTACTATAAGTAGGAATCAACTTAGTGTGATTTTTTTAAATATTAACATAGTCTCTCCTTTACTATTTTCTCTCATTCTATGTGATGGGGTGAATATGTGACTTGAGGTCTTTTGCTTGAGTCTATCCTTAATATTCTCCAGCAAACACAATTGAGTCAACTGGTTTGAAGAATTTTATTCACTTGAAGAAAAAGGAAACCCTGCTCTGATCCTAGACCTAATTGTTCTTTCAAATTCTGTTTAATAGCACTGTACACAGCAATACCAGAGCTTTATACAGCTATTAATAAAATTTCATGTGCATTGGGTTGATGACTCTATAAATAAAAATCTACATTTCTTAGAGAGGTAGGTTAAGCACTAGAACAGAAAATAGGCCTTCCTGTACCTCTGGTCCTAATACTATCACTGTAGGTAAAAAGTTTTTCCCTAACCACTAACGTAAATGTGGCGTGTGTTTCTTCCACCTGGGTGTGGCTTTGGTGATATATTCCCATATCACTCCTGCTTCTCTTCTTTTGTTTTCTAATGATGTCCCAGACTTGTCTCCTCCATCCTCAACACAGGTAAGTGTTCTGTTGCTTTTCTGAATTTCTAGTACTTTCCCACAGATGTGTATCTTTAAATTATAGATGAATGATACCCAACAAACATTTATGTAACAGGAATGTTCTATGTCTATGTACTATGCATAGGAAATCTGTTAAGTACAACTGGTTTTGTTGTTATTATTTGGCACTAAGTTGACTATGATCCATAGCAAACTATCCCGAGCAAACCTCACCATCTGCAACACACCTGAACCCATTGCCACAGTCACTGTGACAATCTATCTCATCCAGGGTCTTCCTCTCCTGTGCTGACCTTTCAAGCACTATGTCCTTTTCCCAGGACTGGCTCATCCTATCAACATGCTCAAGGTTTGTGAGATAGAGTTTAAAATCCTTATTTCCAAGGAGCAGTCTGGTTTAACCCTCTCCAAGACAAATCTGTTCACTCCCTTGGCAATCCATGGTATGTTAACACCCTTTTCTACCACCATAATTCAAAGGCATCAATTCTTTTGTCTTTAGTCACTGTACAGCGCTCAGATACACAGAAGCAGTCGAGTAGATCATGGCATGGATCGGGCACATCTTAGTCTTTAGACTGACAGGGTTGCTCTTTAGCACTGTGGAGAGGCTCCTGACAGCGCATTTTCCCTATGGAACTAGTCTTTTGACTTCCTGACTATTAGTACCAAGGGTGTTTATTCTGGATTTGGGCAAGATTAAATCACTGGAAACTTAATCTTATTTTCATCTATCATGATGTCTTCTATTGGCCCAGGGGTGAGAACCATACTTTTCTTGATATTATAATGCAACCCATATCGAACACTGCTGTCCTATATCTTCTAAAGCAAACACTTCCAGTCCAACTCAGTTTCAATGAGAAAAGTGTGTCAACTTCATAATGCAGGTTGCTGATGAGTACTCCTCCAATCCTGATGATTGTTTTTCCTATAGTTCTTCCACTTGAATTACCTATTCAGCATACAGATTGAAAAGTTGGGACGAAAGGATACCATAAAATGTTCGCTTATTCTGTTTGATAAAAGCTCCTTGATCTATGTATGGGTTTAGAATGAGGACAATCAAGTGTTCTGGAATTTCCATTCTTCTAAATGTTAGCCACAACTTGTTGTGATCCACAGTCTAATGCATTTACATAGTCATGAAATACAAATGCATAGTTATTAAATACAAATAGTCATTAAGTCCAATCCTTCTGGCACTCTGCTTTCAGCCAAGATCCATTTGATAACAGCAAAGATAACTCTAGTGCCATGACCTTTTCTAAATCCAGCTTGTATTTCTTTCAGTTCTCTGTTAATTTACTGTTCTAGTTCTTTTTGGATAATCTTCAGCAAGATTTTGCTTGTATGCATTATCAATGATATTGTTCAATAATTTCTACATTCTCTTGGATCATCTTTTCTGGAATGGAAATACTTCCAGTCAGTTGGCCAGGTAGCTGTCCTCCAAATTTCTTGGTACAATCTAGTGAGCACATCTGAGGGACTGATTTTTTTTAACTTCAATTAATTAATATTTTAATTGTTGCACTGCTAACAAAAGGCTGCACATCATTGGCTGTTGAAATCATCAGCAGATCCCTTAAAGAAAGATGAGTACTCTCCTCCAGTTAAGATTTACAATCTCAGAAACTTGATGCAGATTAACTATAAATGGAAACTTACTCAATGGTAGGAAGTTTTCTGATGTTTATCTGACTAGAAGCTAATGTACTGGCTGCATATTCCTAGAAAAATAGGTTGGCAAACTTTTTCTGTGAAGATTCAGACAGTAAATACTTTAGGCTTTGAAGGCTAAGAAAAACCTGTGTGTCTGTAAATACCAGTCAACTCTGACACTGTAACAAGAAAGCAGCATAATAAATGAACATGCACGGCTGTGTTCTAATAAAACTGTGTTTACAAAAATGCACAATGAAATAAATTTCATCTGCAGGCCAGTTTCAAACCCCTATTCTAGACTACCAATTCTCAATGCTATCTGTGGAATCACATGAATTCCACAGAGCTAACATTCATACTTTATAATCTCTATTCTCTATATATTGCTATATAGTGAAAAGTGTCAATGACCCTAATTTATAGTCAATGACTACTAGTACACCTACTTAATTTTTATTTTCCAATATCCTCCACAGTAATCTTTTATTGAAGAAAGTCTAGCCTTCTTTGCCCACTTCCTCTCAAGTTAGAGTTGCTTCCATTATCAAATAATGACTTATATAAAACAGAAATCATAACAATCTTCAAGGATGCTTGGCTTTTTACAAATATATTTATCGTAACTGCAGTGAAAGATGTCCCCAGAGCACTCCATGTATAAGTCTATGACTGAATCAGCTAAATCTCCTCTAGTATGCCAATTTTGCTTGTTTGTTTTGTTATTAGTTTTATTTCTCACTTTTTATTGTTCTCACTCTTTATTTTAAAGATCATATTATGGGACTAGCAATTGTCCAGACAAGCACATTCTTCCTGAGCTACTTATTTACATTGTACCAAAAACTAAGAATTCAAGATTCTGGCCACTAGTATACAAACTACATTTAGTCATCAACATCATTCTGTCTTCTGGGTCCATCCCAAGCTGCCTTTATTCTTTAAAAAAATCTCAGCTTTAACTGGTAAAAGAGGGGGAACCACTTCTTCTCTCATCTTTCAATTTCTGCCTCAGCTCATTATAGCCATGCAAAGGGGCTTCTAGCCCTCTTTCAACAATATCCTCAGACCCACAGGAAGTAATGGTGGAAGAAGGTGGCTAAGGAAGTTGACACTTCTCCCTGACTCTCCATTCAGATAGTCTCCTAGGAACACCATGCCCTTCTCCTTGGCCAATTTGAGTTACCTGTGTTTTCTTGCAAATCTTTTGATAAAATGCCTGCTCTATAAAAACAAGGGATCTCTCATGGCTTAGTGGTAAGAAACTGCACTGCCATCCTGAAGGCACATGGTTTGAATCCACCAGCTGCTCTGCAGGAGAAGGATTGACAATCTCCTCCTGTGGGATTAATAACCTCTGAAAATCTGCTGGAGGGTCAGCTATGGGTTGGTTCCAACTTGATGGTATTCAGCAACAACAAAAACATAAAAACACACGTCTTCTCCAGTGCTAGCCATATTACTCACAGCTGTTTGTACATAGAGATTGTGCTTGATTTTTAACTTATTATTCAGTCAAAAACATCTAACATAAGTATGTTCTCTCTAACATCACAACAATGCTAAGAAGAATAGTAATAAAAGGGCAGCATAGAAGAGTGTTGGGTGTGAGGCTTCACTGCTCTTTATCTGAGCCTCAGCAGTGTCCAGTCAAAGTGGAACCAACCTGGCAATCTCATACAGTGTTTGTGCAGATTAGATAAAATCATGGTAAATATACAGGACAGTAACAAAGTATGATCTCAATATCAATACAGGTTAGTTGAGCCTCTTATGCCTTTATGTTAATGAAAATCAATGACTTCAAACTAACCCTTTAAAGCAACATACTGAATAGTTATAGAAAGGAATTAGAACCAAATGCGATTTTGTGCAGAATTTCGTATCCAATCATGGTACACTTTAATTTCAGCACATTGCAGTAAAACATATTAACTTCAAGATAATAAAACTTCAAATTCTCCAAATAAATTATTTTGGATTTTACACCTCAGCATGGATTTTAGATCCTTACTTTGTGGACTGTCGTTCTGTATTAACAGCATAAAAAACCAGAATGTCGCGATAACAGAATCTCAGACTGTCTCCACTTACTTGGACATGAAAGCACCACATCTTATTCTTGCATCACTTCCCTCAGGGAACAGCAGTTCTGGGCTGTACAACACATCAACCAGCACTGAGAACTCAGCCTGCATCATGGGGCTGAACTGCTGCTCCAAGGAGGCCACTACATCCTAAGGAATAAAACATAAGAGAACCCACATGGAGATTTAAGTCTGATTTCACGTTCTGAAGAATGAGCATGGACATAAATAAATAACCAAGACTGAGACACTGAATTTCAAAGAAAATGTTCCCTAATCTCCCATGTTACTGTTTGTGCTACAAGTATAGTTTGGCTTTATGTATAAATATCACCTGGATCTCTGCTTTTTCACTTATGAGTTAAGGAGGGTTGAACAGCCATTTGATTCTCAATCTAGACATTCAAGAAGACAAATCTCAGAGAAGCCACTGTTAATCGTCCTGCAGCATTCGACAGTTACCAAGTGTGTGTGACAGGTATTTATCAAATTGGAAATACTGGGAAGGCTGTGGAACAGTTAAAAAGATATTACATATGTGACACTAGACACACAGAACCATTTGTTTCAAAGAGTAATTCACTGATTTTTTAAAGCAGTATTGACACTATATGGATTTAATCACATTTAATAGTATTTCAAATGCAAGTCATCACTTGCCACCAAGTATGACTTAGAGTAACCCTATAAACAAACCTGAACAATGCCCTACCCTGTGTCATTCTTATCCTCTCAGACACACTAGAACCCATTGCTGAAGTCACAGTGCCAATCCATCTCATTAGGGTTCTTGCTCTCCTTTGCTGATCCTCTTTCTTTCTAAGTATGTTATCCCGTTCCAAGGAATAGTTTTGCCTAGCTAATATCCAAAGTATGATGAACAAAGCGTCACCATCTTTTCTTCCAGAAAGCATCCAGCTGTATTTTCTCCAAGATATATCTGCTCATTCTTTTTTGGCAGTCCATGGTATATTTAGTACTCTTCTCCAGCACTGTAACTCAAAGGCATTAATTCTTTTTTTCATATGTATTCATTGTCCAGCTCTCTGATGCGTAGCAGGTGACTGAGAAGCCCATGGCCTGAATCAGGCACACCTTAGTTTTTAAACTGACATCACTGATATCCAGTCTTTTGGAGAGGTCCCTAGCAGTGGACTTGCCCAATGCAATATGTCTTCTGATTCTGACTGATGGTACCAATGATGTTGATTGTTGATGCAGGCAGGATGAAATCATTGATAGTTTTGATCCTTTCCCCATCTATCATTATGTTGACTCTGGCCCTGTGAGGAGGACTGTTGTTTTCTTGTTGAGATGTAATCCATACTGAAGGGTGTAGTCCTTGATCTTCTGCAGCAAGCATAATCCCCTCATTTTCAGCAATCATGTCATCTGAATAGTCCAAGTTGTTGATGGGCCTTCCTCTGATTCTGATGCCACATGACCCTTCAGAGAGTTCAGCTTTATAAATGTTTTGCTCAGCATATAATAGGCATGGAGACACAACTCTGACACATACCACTTTTTTTTTAAACTGGGAAACATTTCTAATTTTTAATCTTAAAATTATAGCTCAAAATTGCAAAGGCAGATATGCAGAGCCACTTCTGAACAAGGAGAAGGAAACTTTGGAAAGTTCACAAAAAAAGAAACTCAGCTAGAAATCCAGTTAAACTGGTTACTCAACAGTGTATGTTCATTCCTCCATTTTCTCAACCAGTTCTTTCTTATATTTGCCTTTCTCTTTTCCAACTTGCTGAGATTTGGCTTTATGTCCCAGAGGTTTTTTTCCGATCTTTAACCAGTTTCAGTCTAGTGGGAACCCTCTTGCCCACAAACACAGTTATATCATTAGCCTTCTCACATAGCCAACCATTCTTTCCACATAGATGACACACTTCTTTCCATACATCTCAACTACTTTGCCAATTTGCTGACCCTTATAGTGTCTTCGAACCACCTTGACCTCGTCATGCTTGCAAGTGGGCATGGAGCACAAGTTAAACCTTGACCTCAGCTCCCTGAACAGCAGGGAGGATGTGATCTTCTTGTGAATTGTGAGAGGGCACTGAGGTGGTGTTTGTGGTTCTTGCTTTGGTCAGAGGCCACAAAAGAGTTGAACTCCATTATGACGGTCAGGTGTCTGGCAGCTTCAGACTCTTCACACACACCCTTTTTGATATTAAACCATGTCATGTTCCCTTGCTCCAGACAACAGCTTCTTGATCTAAGAATAGATTTCTCATGAGCATAATTAAGTGTTCTGGGATTCCCATTCTTCTCAACATTGTCATAATTTGTTATGATCCACACAGTCAAATGCTTTTACACAGTCAGTAAAACACAAATAGACATTCTTCTGGTGTTCTCTGCATTTAGTGTCTGATATCTGCAACAATGCCCCTGGTGCCACGGCCTTTTCTAAACCCAGCTTGAACTTCTGGCAGTTCTCTGTCAATACATTCTTCTAGATATTTTTGGATAATCTTTGACACTATTTTACTTGCATGTGATATTGACAGTATTGTTCAATAATTTCCACACTCTATTGGATCATCTTTCTTGGGAATGGGGACATACAAGTATCTTTGCCATTTCTTGACACAGACTCAGGAGCACATGTAAGGCTGCATCTGTTAACTGAAACATGTCAATTGGCATTCCATCGAGTGGTGGACATTATATTTTTGCCATTGTCTTTGGTGCCACTTTAACTACATGCTGCATTACCATAGGCTCTTGTTAATAAGGTAATTCTGAAATTTTTCAGTGTCAACTAATAATTTTTCATGCAGTGATTCTGTGTATTCTTTCCATCTTCTTTTGATGCTTTTGCTGAGTGAGTTTTCCCCTTTTCATTCTCTGACTGCAGCATTTTACACATTTCATTATTATGATAGTTTACTTTGTCTTCTTAAACTGCCCTAGGAAATCTTCTGTTCAGCTCTTTTCTTTGGCATCTCTGTCTTTTCTGTTGCTGTTCCTGTCGTGTATCGACCCATAACTGACTTTGTGGTGTACTTTCAGAGGCAATTAAATGTGTGGGAGAAGAGTATCCATCTTTCTCCTTCAGAGAAGCTAGTGGATTCTAACCAGGTGCCTTTTGGATTACAGCTCAGCTTCTTATCACTAGGCCATCAGCACTCCCTAACACAATGTACTGAACGTTCTTTAATGAATGATCAAAATGCTTCCTTTTCCTTTTTGTACTAACTTTTTCAGAGAGAACAAGACTGCATATGAAGGAGCAATTGACTCACAAGCTATATGATATTCTTTTATGCAAAAAAGAAAAAACCAACCTGATTTCAAAAAGTTTCTCTCAGCCACAGCAGCACAAATGAGGATATCATCCCTTAAAGTGAGACTTCAGGTATAAACTTATGTCTCCCGAATTCCTTCCCTTCTAGCAAAAGTACTTCAACTACTCTGAACAAGATTTCTGGGAGGTTTCTAATGACAAAAGAAACTATCAGGAAGGAAGTGGCATTAAAAAACACTGGATAAAATATTAAGGTAAGAAGAGAGCATTATTACACAATATGACCACATGTAATAAGAAATGGCACTAAAAATATACCCAGAGGCTGTGGATAGTGTGTAAGCCTATCCAGAAGAACCTCAGAAGAAAGGCCTGCATACGTGTCTCCAAAAATGGTCATTTTCCAAAAATAATTGGTCATTAAAGGGCACACAGGTCACAGACTCAAGTATCCATGTGTATACTAGAGTATGCATGTGGCTGTCATTGATCAAAACAAACTCAACAGTAGTTAGTAAATAAATGCAGGTAGTAAAAGTGGACTTCTGTTAGATGACCTCTTGTCTTCATGTCATTTTCTCAACAAATTGTGCTGAGTTTCCCCATAATGCAAAGCATGCATTCATCTTGTTTTAAACTGTTCGTTGTAATATAGGTAAAAGTTTACAGACACAGCTGGTTTTCCTTTACACAACAGATTGATCCAGATCTGTGACATGATTGCAATCCCCACAGTACAGCTGCACTCTGAGCACTTCCTCCCTGCAACTCTCATTGTCATTTGCTCTTTTGTCCAAGCCTTTCTCCTGGGTACATGCTGACATTTTTATCTAGTATGGTTGGTTATCCAAAGTAGTGTATACTCTTGGTGTTATCTCCCCACCTTATAGGTCTGTTTATAGTTTAGTTGAAAGTGGAGTCATGGGAACAGCTGATAAAACTGTTGCCAAATCCAGTGGTTATTTTTCTGTCCCTGTTTCATGCAACTTTTGCCTAAAATACTTGTTCCTCACACTGAAATATCTTTTCTGCTGTTAGCTTCTCTAACAGCATATTTCCTATGTACTGACTACTTCTATGCCAACTCCTCAACTCCTGGTAGCTCCTAATTCTTGTCTGATCTCATTTAAGGGCTAGCATGCAATTCCATGGCATTAATCACACACACACACACACAGAGAGAGAGAGAGAGAGAGAGAGAGAGAGAGAGAGAGAGAGAGAGAGAGAGAAAAGTGTACACATACATATTAGCATACTAATAGCTCTGATGACCTAGGGACAAGAAGCTGCACTGCAATCCAGAAGGTACGCATTTCAAGACCACCAGCTGTACTGTGGGAGGATGGGCAATCTCCTCCCATGTAATTAACGGACTCTAAAATCCTGCTGGAGGGCCAGCTATGGGTTGGTTTATATTCTACAGTACACAGCAACAAAAATATGTAATAAAAGAATTAGTATATTAATATAAATATTATAACTCCCAAATTTATATCTGCAACCTGGATTTAAGAGGGGGAAAAAAATCCAGGCTAATCTAGCCAACTAACTAGGCATCTTGAACTTAAAATTTCCCAACAAAATCCCTTTCAATTCTCCAACTACTTCTATAAATTTCCCTATCTTAGCAAAGAATACCATTATATTAAACCCATACAATTCTTTCCATGACACACAACTCATCTAATCAAAGCACCAATTCTTGTTGGCACTCCTTTTAAATATATCCAATATTCATCCACTTTCCCTCCTTATTATTTCCTTTGAAGTCACCATCATCACCTTTTACCTAAATTAATGCAATAACAATCTGATTTGACTCATTCACTCCCTACATAGACCTCTGTTTACACTCTTCAAAGATTCGCTATCACACCAACAATAAAATCCAAATTCCTAACCAAGTCACTATATGACACACTAATTTTAAGACTCTCCTTTTTTTGCTGATTAAACTCCCAAGTCCAACTGGATTCTCCTGTTTCCTCAAAGCCACCAGCTAAGTTTCTGCCTGAAGGCTTTGCATTTATTGTTTCTTCTCCCTACAATTCTCTGTCCCCAGATCTTTGACTAGATTATTCCTTTTCATTATTTGAGTCTCAATTCAAATAATGCCTCAGCTTGAAGGACTCTAATAATAGGATTGATTCCCAGTAATTCTTTACCATGTGACAACTCTTTTTTTTTCTTTTATAATAATCTTACTGAGTTAACATGATCTCATTTATTTAATGTTAGCATTTAAATTCAATGAAAGAACAGACTCTGTCTTGCCCAAGGCCCTTCCAGCAACACATACTGGCAATGAGTACATCTCGAGTAAATACGTCAAATGAGGTAGCTGTCAAACAGAGCTGAAAGAAGTACAGGGCGTACTTTTTCTGGGAGAGTTGACAGTATCGTCCATAAAGAAACCAACCAAACAAACAAAACCAAACGAACACCCACAGATTAAAAAAAAATACAAACACAAACCCAACAAACAAACAAACAAAAACCAACAAAACAACCCTGAATGAAAATAAAAATCTTACTGCTATCAATCCAATTCTGACTCACAGTTTCCAAGGCTGTAGATCTTAGTTGGAGGAGAATACCTTCCTTGTTCCGAAGGAGCCACTGGTGAATGAGAACCACCAGTGACTCATGGAACATGCTACTGACCACACCTATAAAAGTCTTTATCCTCTACCTAGCAACTTTGTAATGTTTTTAATACCCATGACTCATAAAACTCCCCTCTTTCTCATGCTACTTTTTCTATATTATGTGGCCATTCTATACATTCCTTGCTTCTCCAAGGTATTCTTTTGTTCCCATTGCTCTACTCTCTTTTAGCAATACCATTCCTTTCCTTACTCTAAATATCATCCTCAAATGTAGGTTTAAGTTCCATACATCCAGTCACCTATAAGATATTGGGATGTCAATCTGTTAACTGAAATCAGCATAATTACCATTAAAATTCTCCCATGTCTCCCAACTTCTCTTTACTCCTCTTACAATAAATAGTCATAACACTTCACCTCCAACCATGAGACCCATTTTAACAATTCTTCATAACTTTTTTTCCTAAATTCATCCAAAAGTCATCATAACTAGTGACCTGTTTCATCTCCTACGTAATGCTACCTCTCTCTCCGGTTGAGATAGCTTTTCTGTAACTTGTAGCTAATATGCACTATTCTAATCTCTCCCTGAAAATCCAATTCTACAAACTAAAATCTGTTTATACACTTGTATTTAATAACACTTCCACTAAAAATGTTTAATAGTTCAGTCTACGTTTCCTATACTATCAGAACCCAACCTGACTTTCTAATACAATTCACAATACTCTCCTAAGAAAATTCTGAACCACAATCCATTAGTCTGCCTGTGTGTTCTTGCTGTTATGTTATTTCATGTTATCCACTCCATTTGGCTCTGACTCATACCAACAGTACACACAACAGAAAAAAAAATACCCTGACCAATCCTATACTACCCTGATGATCTCAACAGTGTTTGAGGCCACTACTGCAGTCACTGAGTCAATCGTCTCGTTGAGGGTCTTCTCCTTGCCTGACCCTTTAGCTTTCCAAGCATCATGTAATTTTTTCAGGGACTGGCTGCAACTTACAACATGCCCAAAGTATGAGAGACAAAATCCTCACCTCTCAGGAGCTTTCTGCTGCCCTTCCTCAACGACAGATACTTTTCATTTTGCCTATGATCTCTAATAATATCTAGCAATTCCTCAGTTCACATATTGACCATTCTCTATGACAAAAAAAATGGTTTCAAAACTTACTAAATTTCTTCCATTAGGTATTTTATTAATAAAAGAGATGGGAAAACAGTTACCTCTTCTAAATATCCTTCAATGTTATCAGAATGTCCAGTTTAAAAGCATGGGTAGGGGCTACATAGGTAACTTGGAAATAGTAGTACTTGGACTATTCTGGCCAAAAAAGAAAGAGTTCTAGAGACTTTTTAAAGATAAAACAAGGTAATGCACTTTTAACTGATTAAATGATTCTCTGTGAATTTCATTAAATTATATTATTTAATCCTTACAACATGTCCAAAGTATGTTAGAGGAGCCTCAGAATAGTTGCCTCCAAGGAGTCGCCCTGTTTAACCCTTTCCAGGATGAATCTGTTTGTTTTCCTAGCAGTCCATGGTACTCTCAATACTCTTCTCCAGCACCACAGCTCAAAGGCATCAATTCTCTTTCTATCCTCCTTAGTCATTGTCCACCTCTCTGATGCATAACAAGTGACTGCAAAGACCATGGCCTGTATTAGACGCACCTTAGTCTCCAGAGAGACACCAATGCTCTCTATTACTTTGGAGAGGTCCCTAACAGCAGACTTCTTTAAAATATAATAAAACTTCTACCTGGCAGCCTGTGATTTTTAAACTCATATAAGGCTGGAAGAAAGTTATAAAGGCTAGGCCTCAATTAGAACTTTGTAAACTTTTAACTGTTTTTGGGTTTTGTGATTTTATATTTTAAAACTATAATCTAAAAGATACAGATGTTATTTAATGCTCCTATCATACCTGCAATTTTTCAATTATATTTCTATAATCCCAAGCAGGTCCTCCAAGAGCTTCCTTAAACCGCGGTCCACAGCGAGCAGACAGCCTCCAGCCCATGGCTGCTCTCTGTACCATGTTTGAATGGCTCTTCATGAAGAGGGTATTGACTTGACTGTCCAAATCCACTGGAATAGCAATTCCACGATTCTTGGCTGAAATAGAAAGACTTAAAATTTAAAATGGCTTCCTCTGAATGTGACTTCTTATAAATTATCAATTGTAAATATAATGAATAGTTAGAAAAGGGGGGGGAAATTATATCATTAAGCTCTCCCACAAAATTGTTTTATATAACTTTATAACTTTTGAGCCTGAAAGTATTTCAGTTCTTAATATCAACTAGTTAAAAATGGTTTCATCAAACATTCAAGAACAACTAAATTTCTTGATGATTACTGCTTGAGACACATATCACACAGCATCAACATAGAAACACACTGTATAACAGGCATGAATATAAGTACCTTCCCAGCTGCCAAAGAAAATAAGAGAGCAGACAGAAAACACAGGATAAATTCCTGACTAACCATTTAGTAATCTAATTAGTGTGTGTGCATATGTTTGTGCACTGTATATGCATGAAACTGCATGTGCTAAAAATAAGAGAATACAAATAAACTTTTGAATGTTTAAAAGAAAAAAAAAATCATTGGACAAAACTGTACAGAACTTGTCCTTCTTTCTAGATTGAAATGTATATTTCAATAGACTAACCTATGAAAATGACACCCATAAGCAAAACAGAAATCAACATTTTTGTTTCTTTTCCAGGTAAAATGAAGATAGGCTCAGTACTCCACAAAAGAACAGAAGGAAATGACACAGAGGATACTGAAGTTAGAACATGCCTTCCCAAAGTCAGAGTTGTTCAACATAAAACAAGAACGGCAGTGGGAGGGCGAAGCAGCTGGGCAACTCATTGAAGAACAGCGTCTGGGTAGCAGAGAAGTTAAGGTCCTCCTCTCTCTGATGAGCATAAACAGTAGCTGGCAGCAGAAGCGTTTCCCCAGAGGACAAAGTTAGAGAAATGTTCTTTCAAGAAAGTGCAATACCTGCTTGAAGGAATGCCAAATGAAGGTGTTAGGGCCTGGCAGAGAAACAGAGTTTGAATTACCACCACTGTTCTTCATCACATAAGGGATGACATGAGGAGAAAGAGGAAAGAATATATTAAAGACTCTAACTCCTGAGCAAAACCCTCAATAATTGCTGGTATTACCAGCCTTGCTCTGCTTCATACGCACACACATACACAAATGCACACACCTTAAATGAAAGTTCGCTTATCATTTGGTCAACTCCTTAACCAGAATTTAGTGTTTGCCAGATTATTTATAGAATCTTAGCTGGTGACCTAATGGTGAGGAGCTGTGCTGTCAACCTGAAGGCAAAAGTTAAGAATCCACCAGCTGCTCCAGGGCAGAAAGACAAGCAGTCAACTCCCTTGAGATTCACTGCCTCTTAAAACCCACTGGAGGGTCAGCTATAGGTTGGTTCCTACTTGACAACACAAAACAGCAACAGGAGGGAATGAGACCCTCAAAAGTGTAGAGGAAATTCATGCCAGCCACTCACATCAATTGTTACATAGATCTTTATAATTATGCATACATAAGGAAGGATCACAGGGAAAACCAAAAGTATAAAGAGTAACTAACTCCAGAAGGAACAGAAAAGATACAGGCAAAACAAAAAATGTTTAATTCTTTTCCTGAGAATTATTACTATAGCTACTGCATCTGAAGAGAAACCTTCAGAAAAATAATTATTAGAAATTTAAATAACTGCAAAAAACTGCTTCAACAAGAAAAGTGCAAAGATGAAATTGATTATTGAGACAAAGAAGCCATGGAATTGCTAGAACTAAAAGTACAAATGAACAAAACAGAAAATAAAGCACCTAGATAAATAGAAATTCTAGAAACAATAACAGAGACAATGAAAGAAACAGTCAAGATTAGAAAACAAATTCATTGAACTTGAGCTGAATATATGTAAATATGTGACTATACTGCACATGTAAATATATACAAACATTCACACACGATCAACGGAATGCATTTATCAAGTTCTGGTAAAAAATTAAATGCCAACCACAAAAGGGAGATCACAAGAATTTCCATGTAGAAAATAACTTCTTTTCAAAAAGGATATTTCGCTTTTCATCATCAACATCGCATGTTAGAAGACAATAAAATATCTTTAAAGTTTTAAAGTACCAAATATTTAAAGACATTACAGGACATGTAATCTCAGAAATACTTTCCAATCCCTTATGAAAATAATATTAGGAAAAAAGATGGAATTCAAGACAAAATGTCATATATAAAAGTAAGTAGGTCAATCAATATAAATTGAAGAAGAAAATAAAGTGAGAATTCAAGAGAAAGATGTCATGAATACAAGACACTAGGACAATTTAACAGGAATTTGAAAAAAATAAATTTAGTAACAAATGGATGCAGTATCTACTGCAACATTTCCATTAGATATTAATTGTTGTAATGTTCCCTTTCAGTTACAAAGTTGTTATATCATAGGCTGTATTTTGGTTTATTTATTTCAAGTGGAAAGTATATAATTTAATGTTACATGCGCTAATCATTGATATTTCAAGTTGTCAGCCTAAACAAGAGAGGCTTAATTATATTTCAGAATAGAACACAAATATCACAAATCATAACAATGTTAAACAATTTATTACACAAGTATTGGAATCACTGGGAAGGATGAGGTTGAAATGATGAAAATATTCTAAATAATTTCTTATTATGCAGTGTGGAATGTAACTTGGAACAGTTAGTCAAGGAAAAAAGACATAAAAGTATTATTTAAAATTCTTATAGTCACTAGGAGAATTTCTTTAAATGAATGGAAACAAGAAGAAAGATTTTTTAAAAACTGGGTAGGTGGGTAGATAGAGAGGGAGGAAGATATGCTGCTTTCTGACTCATTTCATATAATGAGAGGAAAAGAACAAGAGTCGGAAGTGCTCATTCTGCTGGTGAAAGTTCTTCAAAGCTGAAAGATGCTTAAAAACTTCTTTGAAAGTAGACAATTTTCACTACCAACACAGAAACGGGTACCAATTTAAACAAGGGTTCCAGCTGGCTTTAGCACAGTAATAATACCTTTTTTTTTTTTTTGTAATAATACCTTAAAGGCAGCCCTAAACAATCAATTGCACCACTACCCAGATTCTCTGGTCAATTAGTGAATGTTTTCTTAATATTCATTATAGATGTCCCCTTTTCAAAGCGTACTAGGTCTCTGTTTGTGTCAATCACACACAGCAGCCCAGCCCCAATCCTGTCTCCTCTACAGGACAAAGGTCTTGGCACAGCCAAGCTGCACATGTGTATGAATACTTAACTCTGCACCACGATCAAATGCTGGCAAAACAATCTTTTTTTGGCTATTTCATACATAAGCTGAGTTTGCTCTAAACATCCAAAAGCATGGTATTTTCTAAGCAGTAAAAATTATAATCTTTAATACTCTTGAATAGATATTACAACAAGTTTCTACCAATGCTTAAACAAATGAGGGAGAGGGGCTGGTAGAAGCAGATTACCCAGTAAACAACACAAGTATGGGTTTACTTGTATTTATTTACTAATCCATAATGGACATGTCAAACTATGTACATGTCATACATTATAGATTTGTAAGGAAGCATAAGAAAAATCTATGTTTATCTTGTTTACTTGGTACCCTCTCTCTATCAGATACTGAACATTTGAAAAGAGGCTTTGATTCTGCAGGAAGGTGCCATGGGATTGGGAGAGAGACTGATGCCAGCCACACACAGAAGCAGAGTCGTTGATGTGCTGGAGGTGGGAATATAAAATGGTTCATTACAAATTGGTAAATATGCACAAGGAAGACCATGGTTTCTTTGTTACCAGACGATCTAATTATCAGGGACTGGGATTTTTATTTTTTAGGAATCTGGAACATTAGGTGGAAATGAACATCACCTCAGTGTTGCTGCTATGAATATGATGTGCAGAATGAATGCTCAATGAATATTTTTCTAATGATACTAGTGGAAAAATTAGAAATGACAGTAGCACCTCTGTTATTCTTAGCATCACAGCACTCCTCAGTGAGGTCACAAAACTCTCACACGCCCACAGATGTTCCTATGAACCGCTGCACTACATAGTTTTCTGAGGCCAGCACCATGGACAAGCCAGAGATCAGAAAACCTTCCAATTTTGTTGAAAACTGTGCCACTTTAACTGGTTTGCTCTAGCTAACTGCCTCAGCACAAACTGCATAATATAAATTAGCCAGATAAAATACACTTCATTCTTATACCTAAAGGTTCACTCTGACCAAGGGCAAACATCACAATTTCTTAAGCAATAAATGAAAACTGACTGCAATTAGGAAAAAAGGAAATTTGAGTGCTTTGTCTTTAAAGTAGGCCCGTTTAGGTAATGACAGCATTTACTTGAAAGGTAGTTACAAACATAAGTATATTCTTTATACTATAAAAAATTTTAAATATTCACTTAAAAAATACTGACAAAGCTAATACTGCTTCTCAACAGTGTATAAAAATTAAAGTGGAAATTAAATGTGTGACTAAGAAAATAATAATGTATGCTTTCACATGTAAGAATATTAATAACTGGAAAAAAGATTTTTTAAACACAAACAAAAATATAGTCCATATTTGGTTTACTATAACTGAAAAAGAAAAATACCAGCATAAAGAGAATACCAAAACATGAACAAAGTCATATTCTTGGAACCAAGAGTTGTTATTCCCTGGTCCTTCTTTCCCTCACAAGAAAGAGCTAAAAATGTATGAACTGCTAATTTTCTAGCCATTAACTGTAGTTGTAGATCTAAATGGAAAAGTTTAGGTTAAAATTTAAAACATTTAAAAAAGTGTACCTATTTCACCCCTAAGTTAGAGTGTAATTGAGATCCTGCCTTGTTAAAAATATACTGTCAGAGTCAGTATATGAAATTTGACACAGAAAAAACCTCACAGGAGCTAGGAAGTAAAGCTCTCTCTTTGCAGCACTCTGCTAGTTCTCTAAAATGCAGTATCCCTGTCACAAGTATTTTGATTATAAGGCAAACCTCCTAATTAGGATTATATTCCCTAAAAAATTGCTCTGAATATGACATGTCT